AAATTTAAGAAGTTTGAATTTTGTGTCATTATCAGATCTTATAACCTTTATTTTGGTAGAAAATTGTATGAAAATCATGTTATAATCAAGAGTAAGATATGGCAACTTCATATTTGAATTTCATTAGAAAAACCCATGTAAAACAAGTAAAATCATCCATAATTGTTAGAAAGTAGTGATAACCATCAATGGAAAAGATCTTATAAAGACCCCCATATATCTATATAAATAAGGTCAAAAGCAACATTAGTTGATTTCACATGATTTGAAAAAGTAAGCATTTTTTGTTTTGCAAGAGGGCAGACATGGCAAAAAAATTTCAATACAATTGACATCAATACATTGTTTATCAATTTGCTTAATTTTGTCAAAAGAAACATGACTAAGTCTGAAGTGCCATAGGTGAAAATACAAGGTTCTAAATTACAATGGGAAACTAGAGTTGCATTACAAGAAACAAAAGAAGAAATTGAACTTTTGGAAAAAAATGAAACTAGTTGATTTTTAAAAGTCTTTTTAAATTTTCCATCATCCAAACAGCATTGCAAGAAGTATAGTTTTCCTTGTACTCTAGCATGCCTAAACATTATCCATGTATTAATATCCTGAATAAAGTAGTGATTACCATTCAAGATCACACAATATTGTTTACTCTCAATGAGTTTACTAACAGAGATGAGATTATATGTAAAGGAAGGCACACAAAGTATATTTTCTAAAATCAAGGTAGGATTAATTCTCACTGTAACTATGTTACACTGAAGCTCTAGAATCAGGCATTTGCACAAAATAATTATTAACTGCTCTATTGCTCATAAAGCATTCCAAAGAATATGACATATGATCAGAAGCTTCAGTGTCCACAATCTAAGTTTTTCTATCAATCTTGAACATATTTGAAGATTTTTCATTGATAGAATTAACACAAATAACATATAAAGAAATATAGATTTTAGTGACACCAATTATGATAAAGTTCACTATAGAACTTTTTGACTATGAAGTTGTTTGGATAGACTCATCTTCACTATTTTGGGTGTTCTTATTGATAGGAGCTAGCAACTTGTGAATTTGGTGCTTTGTGAGAGACAATGATGACATTGAATCAATGATGTTGTCCTCTTGCTGATCTGACCTTAAAGGTGCAACCACACTATTGATTGGAGAGACCATCATCTTAGGATGTCTCTTGTTCTTAGTGAATTTAAAATTAGGAGGAAACCTATCATTTGAATACACTTTTCTTTTATGTGTCCTATCTTCCACAATATGAACAATGCAACTCACTTTTGATTTTCTTCTTTACTTCACTTGCTACTATTATTGCACTTGACTCTACAATAGATTGTGACTAGACACGTAATTCTCTCTATAATTCTTCCTTAAGGACCAAATCGTAGGCCTCATCTAAGGTCTAAAAGTGTTTGAGCATAATGATGTGTGGCTTAATGGCAGAGTAAGTATCATTCAGGTCATTCAAGAATCAAAAGACATTGTCCTTTTAGCCTTGGTCCATAAACTTCTAGAAGCATATTTTGTATTAGCTTTACAATTGATCCTATTTTAAAATGACAAAATCAAGTGATCAAACGACAAGTTTTAAAATTAATTTAAACATCACAAAACCCCTTAAGAAATTACAAGAAAAATGACTAAATGTTGTTAAAGTTTATAAGCTTAAAATGCCTCAAAAACAATCTAACAGAGCAAAAGTATCGAGACATTCCACGAAGGTATCAAGACATTTCTTCAAAAATGTATTGAGACATGATCTTGAGGAATCGAGACATCACTTCTGAAACCTCAAATTCTAAAAAGCAAGTAGGAATCAATCAAGACATGGCTTTAAGAGAGCAACTTCAAATGTATCAAGACCTACTTGAAATGTATGGAGACATCATCTCCAGACTTCAATTTCCAAATAGCAACTTCCAATGTATCGAGACTTGGCTAAAATGTATTAAGACATCACTTTCAACCTTGAATTCCAAAGAGCAACTTCAAATGTATCGAGACCCAGAAGAAATGTATCGAGACATCCTTCATTTTGAAAGGGCTAAAGATGAATAAGGTATCAAGACATATAAAAATGGTATCGAGACATGAGTAAACTCAAGCAAAAAGTATCAAGATTCTTCGAAGGTATCGAGACCTCAAGTCAAACAAGCTCGAAAAAAATATCTTTAAAGTCTACGTTTTGATATGCAAGGTCTCAAACGGTTATTTTAAGACCTTTACCTAAAAATAAAGATTTAGGACACATTTCCCAATGTAGAGAACACCAAGAGAAACAACTTCAAGCTAGAGAGAAACTTCTAATCCAAGAATTCTTAAAAATCACTATCTAGAATCATAGTGTTCTTTCATGGAGTGTACTTGAGCTTAAAGCTTTCATATTTTTTAAAGAGCTTTTTTACTTCCTTTGTACTTACTTTATTATTCAACCTCTTAGAGGAATTTGAGCTTTCTTTTTATCTCCTTTGTATTGGATTGTAAAGTTTCTACTTTAACCTTCAAAAGATATTATTGTTGATTGGTTATACCTTAACCACAAAAAGGTAAAGGGGTTAAGTCTTAGCTTTTGAAAAGATTATTGTGAGAGTTATGCTTTATCCTTGAAAGGCATTTAAAATAGTGAATTCTAAACTGCTTAGCGAACTAAGGGAGAGGCGTAGGCAAAGAGGCTGAATCTCTATAAAATCCTTATGTTCCTTCTATATTCTTTAAAACTGATTTTATTACTATTTGTGCTCCAAATGGTTTTTGAAATTCTTGAAAAAGAATTTCAACAACCTTAGTTCATCGTTTTGAAGAATCTTCTCAATTCTCACTTGCTTTAAAAACACTCTATCCTTCAAGTTTGCAAGAATTTTTAAAAGTATTCAATTCACCTCCTCTTGAATATTTGTCATATTGAGCTTACTATTCTAACATTTTGTTATAGCTACCACAGTCACAATAAAGGAATGGCCTATGGTTCCTTAATTCCTCCCATAAGCTATTCAAATAAATAAAGTAAGCATCAACTAATTTGTTACCTTGAGCGAGGTTGCAAAGAGAGTACTGCAAGTTGTAGATGCATGCATCATGTTGAGGAAAACGGATCTTCAAGGTTTGCCAAATTTGTGATGTCGAATCCATGTAAATCACTGTGGTTACCATAGGCGACGTATTCGACTCCAAAAGCCAAGTGGCTATTAGATTGTTGCAGCGTTTCCATGGAATATATAGAGAGCATCATAATGCTTTAGTTCCTGAATTAAGCCATCAAGAAACCCAGTCTTGTTTCTGAATTAAGGCAAGAATAAAAGAGCAACTTCATGATGTGTAGTTGCTCGATGTGAGTTTTGGGTTGATTGAAACAGACCCATGATTGTCTGCACGATGTAGGTAATAGGGCAAGTATTGATCTTCTAAAAGGTTTAATTTTTGCTGTTGAAGGGGTTGCCATGGTTCTTCAAAGACACAGCTTCAAAACAAAAAAAATCTCTAGAAAGAGATGAATAATTTGATGATCGATGATAAGAAAAGAAAAAGGAAATAAATTTTTTGAAGGATTGGTGGTGGAAAATTTATGACCAATTGGTGGTGAAGGGTTTAATCGCAACAAGAGTCCTTAGATTTTGCTGCTCTGATTCCATGAAAGCTTGGGTGAGGGAAGAATCAGACAAGGAGTAAGGCTTCGACGAGAGAGAGAAAGAGCATTTTTGGAATTTTAAATTTTGGCATTCTTTTGCGAGTGTATGGTACAATGGCAGCTTATATGCTGCTCTACATATTTACAAAAGTGTCCTTGTCTTATGCGCTTAATTACAAAGTGGCAAATTGTCTCCTAACTAACAAGTTTAATTCTATTATTTACAAATAATCTAAGCTACATTAATCGGCTAGTCTACCTGTCCCTAAAATGGACAAGCTAGTATCTCTTAATAGCTCCTAGCTGCTAGGGAAAGGACTCCTACCTGTTCTGAGACAAGAAAGTGCGTGGTAAAAGGAACCGTTTTTATTGTTCCCACTCACTCAGTCCTTTCTCTCTATTTTGTCATTTTCCCCTCACCCTTCCTTCTCTTCTCCTTTTGAGCTCCCACTGAGTTAATGACCTGAGATGGAATCATTGGAAAACCTTCGGTGCCCCATCTTTTAAAGGTTTGACAACTCTTTCCAACCTAGTACCTTACAGTTCAAGTCTAACATTGACAGAGACATCAAGAACAATCTTTCTAACTTGGGAGGATTAATTCTTATTAGTATGAATAAAAAAGGACAATCACTGTTATTCTCTTTTCTCTTACTTTTTTGCCCTACCAACCATGGGCTAAAAGTCATTTCCTTTCTCATTGTCATCCACCATTTCCATCCTCCCAATTTTCTCTCCTAAAGCCAAAGCCTTAACCTCATCTCCACAAACCAAAGAGAATTTCTCAAGCATCACTAGCTAAGAAAATGCCATTATTTGTTTTGACCTTTTTGCGCACTTCTGTGCATTCTACTCTATTCCTCCATTTTGTTAAAGGACAAACAATGCAGTCTACAGTGTGTTCCAAAATCATATAAAACTAATATCTCTTCAGATATTATTATAAAAGGGATCCTTAAGTTAATATTAGTTCACTTTATCACTATTACCAAAGAATGAGAATTAAAGCAGCCAAAAAAGGAATTTAAGGGATAAAGATGAAACTTACCAATACATTCAGCTTATCTTTTACCTTTTGATTCCTTGCTTCCTCTAGAATGTAATCTAATGCTGACACTAGTACATGAAACTGCTTGCTTCTTGAGATGCATACCGTCGAAAGCAGACGAGTAAGGTTGGGAGTTGTTACGGGCCAAACCAACATCCCCTCCACCTTCCCCACTTTCTCTTTGCCCAAAACAAAGCCAAAAGATAAATATTCAAAGAAGGAATCCATATCATACGATCTATTCAATTCTCAGAATGTAATGAAAATATAGTCCCACAAGAAGTTAGAAAAATATTGCAAAGCAACAGACTACTATATCAAATTTCTTTTTTATTATCTTTTGTAATAAATGAATATGGTATACAGAAGGGACAAGCCCTCACTTGCTATTTTAACTTAAACAAATTGATTCGTTTGTTTTGAACTAGAAATGCTATCACTCAAGTCCCGACCCTTTGTTTCTAATGGGAAAAACAATACACATATCCCTGAAACAAAAATTACAATCTCAAACAGCATAATTGCAGCCGTTTGATGACATCCATGCACTAAACCTACTGCCACAAGAGGACATACCATCCCACCAATTCTTCCCACTGAGCTTGCAACTCCAACACCAGTTGATCTGATAGAGGTTGGGTATATCTACAGGTTAAATTAAATAAATAAATTGTTACTTCAAGACAAAACATAACAAAAATGTTAAAAGATTTAGATATGTAATGAACTTAAACAATGTGTAAACCATCTTATTGTACTTAATCCAGTAGATCAAGGGCTACTAGTCATGTTTCTGTTGTCCCCTATGGCAAGGTGAATACAAAAACATCAAGAAGGAAAATACAATACTCCCAAAAAATTGTGTTCAACACTCAACTGTTTATAGATATCTATTTTAAAAGGTAATATTTGAGTTTGGAAAAACAAATTTACCTCTTTTCATAATATATTTGTGTAATGTTATGTAAAATGAATTTACCTTGGATTACGCATCACATACATATATATGCTGAAACTACATTAATATAGCATTTGGAAAAGCTTTCAAACTAGTTAGTTACCCAGAACTGACTATATTCTAGCATGAAAAACAACCAACTAGAGAACCCTGACATGTATGGTACTGGACATTCATATGCATGCCTGAAAGACATGAAAAATCAGAGGTGTAGCTGTGTTCTGATTTGCGAAACAAAGACTCCATGACTGTGTTTTAGCATTATTCTTTTTTCTAGTTTAATTGGAAAACAGTTTCTAACAGTCAAAAGTGCCAGGCTTCAGATTCAATATAACCAAATAATAATTATCCAGGCAGTGGGAAGAGGCTTAGCTGTGTTGAATATTTGTACACAATCACTTCACTCCAAGGGGAAAACAAGGGCAAAAAACAAAAACTAACTAAAAATATCTGAAGTATTGGCAAGTTGAATTTCAAAGTATGTGATCTCGTCAACCCAAGAAGAAAATGAAAGCAATCTTGAAATTTTATTGTGTTGGTCTTTGCACATAAGCTACAGAAAGACACAACATGAAAATTTAATTGCTCTTCAAAGGGAAAAATAAAAGAACTCTCATTTACCTCTGGAGCATATATATACACAACTGTGAAGGTTGTAGTGATGCATATTCGAGCGCCAAATAGAAGGCCTGTTGTTAGAGCCTGAGGCTGATGGAATACCAATGGAGGCAGGAAAATGCAACACAGGAAGAACATAACTGACATTGAAAACTTACGACCAAATTTATCCACTGTGGCAGCAGATAAGAGGAGCCCAGGAAACTCTAGAACCCAATCAAAGCTAGATGTCAATAAGCTGCCATCCAGGAGTGTCAAATAAGTGTATAAAATTATCACTGGACAAGCAGAGAACAATACCTGCAAAAGTAGTAATGAAAACATCTTTGTAGCTAACATCCTGGGATTTTTCTGAATGCAATTCCTTTGGACCACATCTGTTACGTCCATTGTGCAACTCCGTTGTCAATAATACCAGGCCATAATATGAAAATGCATTTCCAAAGAATACTATCCATAAGAGTGTGGTTGACCTAACTAATTCTGGTGAAAGAAGCTTCAGTACTGATGAGATGCCTTCTGCATTAGGATTCGTTTCCATAGGAGTTGCATATTCACTATCTTTTGGTGGAAGCAACTTGGTATCCTCCGTTGGAGTACTCTTTCCCGCTAACTCAATTTCATGATCAGAAACAAGAATTCCAGAAGGCACTTTTACTCCATTCAATCTACCTATTTTCTCCAAAATACCAAGCGCCTCAGCTTTTCTACCTTTCAAGCATAAAAATCTGGGTGACTCAGGTGCCAATCCATAGAAGAGAAGGAGAAATGATGAAGGGAGAGAAGACAGAGCAAGCAGCCATCTCCAACCCAATGTTGGCATGACAAACTGAAAGAAGAAAGAATATGGTCGATGAACGGGGGAAATCAACATGATTGAACTCTGAATCTGAGTGAGTTAGCCAAAGAAATGCAGCTTTCTTAACAGTATGATGCAATTATTTGTTATTTCCATCACAATCTGTAGGAACAAGAACAAGGCCCACAGGTGATGATATCTACTTGCTTATTTTACCTAGATCATACAATGACAAAAACAATCATTACAACCTATGGCCACCAAACAATTGAGGATAAACACAGTTTATATTCTAGCTATTCCCTAAAAATGGAGCAACATCAGTTAACTTTACATTGCAAATCAATCTCAAAATGTTTTGAATTTCTGAACCCCCAGCAAAATAAAGTGAAACAACAAGAGTTGGCAGAAATGATGACAAAACATAAGAAATCCAATGTAAAAATAAAAATGACCATAGTCTAAGAGAAAAGGGATTAATTCCAAATGTTTTCCTATTGCAAAATGGCCTTTACCATACCAAGACAAGCAAGTTCTGTAATTTAATGACCTGAATAATCTCAGAGAAAGGCAATGCAAAAATATAAGTGACTACAGTTTAAGAGAAAAGTGATTAATTCTAAATGTTTTCCATCATGGCCTTGACCATACCAAGGCAAGCAAGTTTTTTAATCTAATGACCCAAATAATCATGGAGATTCCATTATAGATCAAAATTTGGAAGTAACAAAGATTATCCAAACTTTACCTGCAGCTCCTAATTGCAAAAAATTGAATGGAAAAGAACAACATGAAGAAGACACTAAGGAAATGAAAGATAATAAAGACATCATGGGCATACCCATGCCAGTGAGGCTTCAAAAATTGTCCCAACAGTCCAGAATCCTTGGAAAACAACCATCCAGGTGCCTCTGCTTGGGGCAGGAATAAACTCTAGAAACCAGGAGCAGAGAACAGGCCCGCCTCCCAAACCAAGACCAACCAAACAACGAAGAATAATCAATGAAACGTAATTTGGTGCCAAGGCACTCAGAAAGCCGGCTCCAGAAGTAACTACTGCAGTGATGAGGAACCCTTTCCTGAGGGACAGAAATAAAAGAAAAGGGATATCATGCGACACAAGAATAGAAAGCAGTGAAAATAGTGCTAGAAGGAGCCGCATTAAATTCACTTATGCTTCTGTCAAAAAAAAAAACAAAGAATCACTTTTGCATTAAGTCGAGACAAAGGATGCCATAGTGCTAGAGCAGGGCAGAATAAGTCTCTTTCCATGAGTTCCAGAGTGGACAAGAGGTTTGTAGCTTAGGCTATGGACAGAAATATAGAAATTTAATAAGGAAAAACAGATAGAAAGCCTTGAGTTCTAAAATTCTGTCAATTCCTCTTAATTTAACTGCTCAAACTTAACCCATAGCATCTATGTTCACATGACTAACAAGAAACATTTCCCAAACCAGGATCATCAAAGGGAAATCCAACTCCTTAGTTCCATTCAATCATATTATATACAAAGGGCTACTTGTCTATTTGGGAAGAACTACGGTAGTGCCTGCTTTAGGTAACGCGAAATGAAAAAAGTGAAAGGCTTTTGGTCCAAATGTCATTCTTGGAGGGGCTCCACTAAAAGAGAGTGCGAAAAGAAAAAAAAAATAGTGAGGGTAAATGGGAAGAAGCTTAACTCTAATGCAGGAGTCAAAGAGCAGACAAGTTAAGCTGTAATTGAGTATAATAACCAGAACATCATTTTCCAGCTTTAGGGAACAAACAGAAACTCTGAAAGGAAATAGCACATCATGTAAACTAACTAGTCAATTACTTCTGGAAACAAAGAATACATCATATACCATACACTCATACATCCTGTTAAATTGGTGGTAAAACAAGGTGTTAATACCGGGCACAGTCCATCTAAAGAATGAAATCACATTCATTAAAGCAGAGATTGAGAATAAGAAAAACAAAAAAATGACAAAAGCACCTACCTTCTTCCGTGTTTATCTGAGACTACACCCCACGAATAGGCTCCAATTAGCATGCCAACAAAAACCACACTGGTTATTAGGCTCTCTTCATGGGAAGAAAGACCCCATAAAGATTGAACTGCCGGGCCTATAAAAGAGAGAAGCATCATTTCCATTGCTTCTGAAACCCAACCCATTCCAGCATAAGCAAGCACAAGAATTTGGAATTTTCCAAACCCCATGGCCAAAAGAGCTTCATCCACAGTAAATGTGGGTGTTCCATCTCCTCCCATCAAAAGAACTGATAAAACAAGGTTACCAAATTTTAACATCAGGAAATTTGGGTCAAAATTTTGCTTCAATGTATGTGATTATATTATGAATAACTTATTGTATGATGGCACAAAGTGATAACTATACGACAAGTCACAACAACTTGAAAACTTGCATCTTCCTCTTACTCTTGGAAAGTAACTATAATAAAACGTACTGATAAATAAATAGCAAACAATATTTCAATGAATATTTCAAACACTTTATTTCCTACGCCTATTTATCCTCCACAATGAAACTATGAAGAAAACATATGTCCACTAACATAAGTTTCATTCTTAGCCAAGTAGCTTCAAACAAAATCCATACAACTCCTGATTGAATCATCTAAAACCTGAGATCCTATTGGAAATTTGATCCTCGCGCACCAAAAAACCTCAGATGTTTGTCATACATCAAGGCAGTCAAAAGACACAGATAAGCATTTCACCTTCGAATGCTCATATACATAAACGCACATATGCATACATAACATACACCATGTAAATATTTTTACTTTGAATGTACATTCAATCTTTCACGTAGCGGTTGTTTCTCGTCCAAAGGAGGCTTAAAGGTCGAAGACTCAAATCCCCTCCCCGCCTGAAGTTCCTCATATATACCAAAAAGGAAGCATTTGCAACAGATTGAAGGCAAACAATATACACATTAAAACCAGAAACAACAATACGAAATCAAATGACAAGTCCGAACAAGATCGTGACACTTCATACGCCAACAACGAAAAATCAGATAAAAAAAAAAAGAAAGAAAAAGATCATTGGCATTGAAAAAAGAGAATGAACTCAGAGACAAGGAACCTGATTCAAGCTTTAAAAATATGGAATGCAGATCCTCTCCTCCTTCGTCTCCTTCTTCGTCTTTGTTTGACGATTGAAAGAATTGGAAGCAACGATATATTATAATCAAATTTTAAAAAAAAATTATGATTATGAAAAGTCAAACAAAGGAAAAGGGTTATCTTTAGACTAATTAATTTTCGTTGATAAATACGATCTGTTTTGTTTTTTTTTTTTTTAAGAATTCTATTTTGACTGTTTTATTTTTCCTTTTTTCCAGAATTAAAAAAAATTAGAATAATTTTTTGTTTAATCTTTAAAAGCTTTTTTATTGTGGTTTTTCCTTTTATTTTTTTCCTCAAATATTGTTTACAGAATTCATGTGGTTTGACTTATTCAACGGGCTTCACTAGACTTTCTCCCTCTCTGGCCCTCCCACCAAATTGGACCCCAAAATTACTTCATAGGTCCTAGACCTAGGAATGGGGTGGTGAGAATAAGGACCGTTATTTTTATATTTTTATTATTATATATATAATTTAATATATAATTTTATAATTTTATATAATTATTTTGAAATACCTTTTATGTAAAAAAGAGATACTTAGGTTAATATAAACTCGTACAAAGAGAATTTTTTTTCTTAATTTTATGGGTGAAAGAGTCAATAAAAAAAGAAGCTGAGATTGAAATTCAAAAGGGTAAGTAGCCCATGGACCGCACGATGCTGCAGGCTAGAAGCCCAATCAAATGAAAGGAGACGGATCGAGCCTTCTAATTGGGCTCTGTATGTACTGATGACATACTTGAAATTAAACAAATGGTCTCCTGGTTTAATTATCTCTCGTTTTATAGTTTTAAGACCAAATGTCTACAACAGAAACAGTAAAAATGGTCTTGTTAGTGGATGGGATAGGTTTCAAGGCTGCGATTTTGAAGAGAAGTGAGGAATTTGTGTTAGAACCGTACTTAACACGTGCCCAAGCTTACGACATTGTGTTCTTTGTAAAAATTGGAAGCTGTGTGCTGCTCCAATAATTTCACTTGTACCCCAATTCATTGAACAAAAGTGGGGCCTGTTAGTGGGTCCCAAGAATGATCTCAAGTTTGCCTCAATTACAAGCCTAGGAAACGAAGTGGAGGACAAGCATACCAGAAAAGAGTAGTACACTTGGGAGAGTTGAATTAAGACCCCACCTCACATCCACCACCTGACACCGCAAAAAAGATTGAGAGATTGCGACATGCCCTGCCCCTTGTGGCTTTGGCCCCTGCCCACTCCACCCCTTCATGGGCTAAACCTCGATTTTCCTCTTCCCATTTCAATACTTTGTGTTTCACAGGTAAATTCTCCCCCATCAATTGGTTGATTTGGGATTCTCTGTTTTTACCCCTTCAACAAGCATCCTCGTTCTTTCCTTCTTTCTTTGTGGAAGTTGTTTAGGGTTTAATGATTTTTTTTTAATTAAAAGAAAAGAGATTTAAATCTTACTTTTTAAATAAAAAAATAATATATTTATTAATGAATCAAATGTTTAAATATATTTAAAATCTAGTGATAATGATGATTTATTGAGAACAAAAAATGATTGAATATATCTAATAATCTCAACCACAAAGACTACTTTATTGAAAGTGTGGACAAACTCCGAGTAGGATATTGGGGCCAACTATGGCAACTTTGTCAAGCATCTTTCGAAACCAAAATGAGCACACCAGTTGATTAGATTGCCAATTGCATCATCGTCAACCAAGCTAGCTAAGCTGATTTACCTTTCACATAATATTTAGAGCTCATAATATGATAGTGATAGGAACTTCAACTTGTGCTTAAATGGTTTTTGCTAAAAATCGTTATACAACAGAAAGCTAGTGTCAAAGTAACTCAGGTGTTTGGGGGCTGCTTGGAATGACTCCTAATTGAAAACTTCTACCATTACCAATGGTTTTAACCTCCTTGAAAATTCTATAGCTTTGTCTCATCCTGATAGAAATGATAAAAATTCAAGTAAAAATCTTAGTTTCAAGTCATGAATATGAAAACATTGTTAAGCAAAAGAAATTGTAATGTCATAGAGAACTGTCTCTTGGAATGAATTACACCTTTAAAAGAAATTATCAAGCTGACACTGTCTCTCGTAATCTATAAAGAACTGTTCTCTTGGCAATTTTTAGCACTAAGAAAGTTGTGACGTTTGCCAGGTCAGAGTCCTCACGGATTGACGGTCCCCCTCTGATTTAGAACCCATCAATAATATAGCTTTTTGGTGAGGGAGACAGCATGATTTGGCCGAAAACAACTACGTTCATAGTTTGCCAACAAAACTCTATTTTCCTGGTTATTTTCTTTGCTTTGCTGTATTTATTGTTTTTGCCTTCAATATCAAAATCATTTCCATTTTCTTTTCATATTTGTCCTCAACTAGGGCAGGAATGGGAAACAAAGGATCTTGTTCCTTCCTTTAATAGTTGCTTTTCATAAGTGAATCTTGTACCCTAATACCTAGAATGTAAATATTAATACGTTATAGCAGCTCATATGCTTGCGGACATTGCCCTAAACACCAAACCAATATATAAATAATGCAAGATTTAATAAAAAATATATATCCTTATGGATAAATTTAAGTTGACATTTTGCTAGATTAAACCAATGGATTGATACTTGCAATGATGAAGAGGAGGAGTTATTAAAATATAAAAGAAAAGGGATACCTTAGATAAGATGCTGATCAAATCAATGAAAGGATAGCAAGTTGCATATAATTGAGCTTACGTTTCAATTGCTGAGAAGCCTACTGTTAGTTCCAAGCTAGGTAATGCAAGAAGGTGATGAACAGCACCTCAAAAATAATTTGGAGAGATTTAAATACAAATGTATACAGGATTGAAGGATTGATAACAATCATAAAAAAAATAGTTAGTCTAAGTAGGAAAAAATAAAGAGAAGTGAACAATACAAGTAATTTGTAGTATTTTTTTGTGACCTACATTCATTATTTGATAGTTTTTGTTAAGAATTTTCGATCTCAACTAGATTAAATTAGTGAAATTAACAAATTCCATCAACCATTTGCCAAGCAAGCAATCTCAAGCTTTATTATCAGGTTATACAAAACCAACAAGTTCTTCTTATTGATATATGCCCTTAAACCAATTGAATTGGTTAAGGAATATAAATATTGTCATTTAATGCATACTTAATCACATAGCTATATATGATAAAGGTTTTCTTTTATATTTGCCCAATAATAAGGAGTTATTAAGTACTAATTAGATAAAGCCCATGGAACATAAAAGCCTTGTAAGAGAATTGTAAGGTTTTTACAATTATGAGATCTCTATGCATCAAAGTTACATTCTTAAATTATTCCTAGTTATTGTATTATCAAGATAGGACATTGACAATGCTCAAAGATTGGTACATGTTAAGCCTCCTTACTTAGAAAGTACATAATCGATCTCATAAATTAAAGTATATGTGATACTTGATAATAACATATGGATGCTTATTAAAGAACAAGTTTACTGAACATGACCCATTATGAAAACTCCATTTAGTATTTCACTTAAGTGTTTATAGAATATGTTCTCATATGATAATTGTGCAACTAGTCCTCGAACTTGAGACACCAAGTCATCTTTTATGGGGAATAACATACTTTGATTTTCCCCTTACGAGTCTGGAGACGACCAGATGCCTAAACAAGGTATTTTTAGGTATGCCATGAACATACGAAAGTGGATGAGTGGTCAAGAAAGGATTCATCACTTTAAGTGATATGAGGGGATGTATCTCACTTGTTCTCAATTCTTGATTAACTTGTATAAAGTTTTTGGCCTAAGCATGATGGATCTGAAGAATATTAGTTTCCTAAATTCATAAAGTTGGTCATGAATTATGAGAACTAATATAGAATGTCATAACTAAACATTAAGCCATGTTTTATGACATATTCGAGATATTTAATGAAAAATCGTATTGCGTTGAAAGGCTTGTCACTAAAGTGCTTTGTTAAATTCTTTAATTAACGCTCTAACATTTGGGTAGTCATGATGTATTGCTAGATGCCACTCATAATCCATAAATATAAATCAATTATCAAATTGATATTTGATTATGATTTATATTTATTTCTATCGTGTTTGAAGTCTAATGGGTTATACACATTAAGTGACATGTTTGAAATTAAATAAGGATAAATAATTAAGTTGAATTTAATTAAAATAGACTAAAATAAAGTTAAAAAATTAATTAAGTTCACAAAGACTTAATTGAATAAAATATAAATGTTGTGTATAGGGTTACAACTTAGTTTGACTATATAAATATGTTATGTTAGCAAATTAAAACTCTAAGCATTCAACCACTTCTTATCCATTTAATAAAAATAAGAAAAGAAAAAAAGTTTTCTTTGTCTGACAAAAATAAGATTCGGTAAAAACTTTTATTCTTTTTATTTTAGAAATAAAACTTGTTAGAACAAGTAAAACCCTACCTTTGAGAAAGTCTTATTCAGTCACTGTGTGGATTACTGTTAGAGGCCAAACACTTAGGTCGCTGAAGATTTAACAAATCCTAAAGGTGAAGAAGCAAAGATTTCAATTGCATGATTTCATACTGTCTTATTCTTTATCCGAGTTACTTGCTTCATCACAAGCCTTTTGGATTTAATTAGCTCTTGATTATGAAATCTAAAGCAAGGTACATAATACTTGAACGTATGCGTGTTTATAATTAACTTGAAAACTGCATGAAAAACACAAACATTGATCTTGAGGGTTTCGACTATTTCGCTAATTAAATATGTTTTTATTTTTTCATTGTGTTTTTATTTTTTCATTGTGTTATATTTTTAATTTCTTAATTGGTTTCATAGTTGAGCATGAGGCCAAATCCTAGCACTTCTTGCTCACAATATTGCAACAAACAAGTGTTTCTCATACTCAATTTACAACTAATGAGCAATTACACATTTATTGACCAAAGTTAAAAAGTTTACAAATGTGCAATCTGATCACTGACTAATCTAATTACACCTGTTTTAGCACACAATTCTTACTTTAAATATTTGGAGTTATGTCTTAAGATAAAAAGATGAACAACAAATAAATTATTTACACTTTCCAATGCCTTCTAATTTTTATTCTTTAAATGGTTCAAAATTCTTTTCTTCATCTCTTCATAGCAAATTTCAAAAAATTAGTCATTTGAGCTAAAT